GTAATTGTATATCTGGATCAGCTGATTCTATACCTGTAACAGTCTGTATAAAGTAATTGTATATCTGGATCAGCTGATTCTATACCTGTAACAGTCTGTATAAAGTAATTGTATATCTGGATCAGCTTATTCTATACCTGTAACAGTCAGTATAAAGTGATTGTATATCTGGATCAGCTGATTCTATACCTGTAACAGTCTGTATAAAGTAATTGTATATCTGGATCAGCTTATTCTATACCTGTAACAGTCAGTATAAAGTAATTGTATATCTGGATCAGCTGATTCTATACCTGTAACAGTCTGTATAAAGTGATTGTATATCTGGATCAGCTTATTCTATACCTGTAACAGTCTGTATAAAGTAATTGTATATCTGGATCAGCTGATTCTATACCTGTAACAGTCTGTATAAAGTAATTGTATATCTGGATCAGCTTATTCTATACATGTAACAGTCTGTATAAAGTGATTGTATATCTGGATCAGCTGATTCTATACCTGTAACAGTCTGTATAAAGTGATTGTATATCTGGACCAGTGAATCAGCTGATTCTATACCTGTAACAGTCTGTATAAAGTGATTGTATATCTGGACCAGTGAATCAGCTGATTCTATACCTGTAACAGTCTGTATAAAGTGATTGTATATCTGGATCAGTGAATCAGCTGATTCTATATCTGTAACAGTCTGTATAAAGTGATTGTATATCTGGATCAGCTGATTCTATACCTGTAACAGTCTGTATAAAGTGATTGTATATCTGGACCAGTGAATCAGCTTATTCTATACCTGTAACAGTCTGTATAAAGTGATTGTATATCTGGATCAGCTGATTCTATACCTGTAACAGTCTGTATAAAGTGATTGTATATCTGGATCAGTGAATCAGCTGATTCTATACCTGTAACAGTCTGTATAAAGTGATTGTATATCTGGATCAGCTGATTCTATACCTGTAACAGTCTGTATAAAGTGATTGTATATCTGGATCAGCTTATTCTATACCTGTAACAGTCTGTATAAAGTAATTGTATATCTGGATCAGCTGATTCTATACCTGTAACAGTCTGTATAAAGTGATTGTATATCTGGATCAGCTGATTCTATACCTGTAAGTCTGTATAAAGTGATTGTATATCTGGATCAGTGAATCAGCTGATTCTATACCTGTAACAGTCTGTATAAAGTGATTGTATATCTGGATCAGCTGATTCTATACCTGTAACAGTCTGTATAAAGTAATTGTATATCTGGATCAGCTGATTCTATATCTGTAACAGTCTGTATAAAGTGATTGTATATCTGGATCAGTGAATCAGCTGATTCTATACCTGTAACAGTCTGTATAAAGTGATTGTATATCTGGATCAGTGAATCAGCTGATTCTATACCTGTAACAGTCTGTATAAAGTAATTGTATATCTGGATCAGCTGATTCTATATCTGTAACAGTCTGTATAAAGTGATTGTATATCTGGATCAGCTTATTCTATATCTGTAACAGTCTGTATAAAGTGATTGTATATCTGGATCAGTGAATCAGCTGATTCTATACATGTAACAGTCTGTATAAAGTGATTGTATATCTGGATCAGTGAATCAGCTGATTCTATACCTGTAACAGTCTGTATAAAGTGATTGTATATCTGGATCAGTGAATCAGCTGATTCTATACCTGTAACAGTCTGTATAAAGTGATTGTATATCTGGATCAGCTGATTCTATACCTGTAACAGTCTGTATAAAGTGATTGTATATCTGGATCAGTGAATCAGCTGATTCTATACCTGTAACAGTCTGTATAAAGTGATTGTATATCTGGATCAGTGAATCAGCTTATTCTATACCTGTAACAGTCTGTATAAAGTGATTGTATATCTGGATCAGCTTATTCTATACCTGTAACAGTCTGTATAAAGTAATTGTATATCTGGATCAGCTGATTCTATACCTGTAACAGTCTGTATAAAGTGATTGTATATCTGGATCAGCTGATTCTATACCTGTAAGTCTGTATAAAGTGATTGTATATCTGGATCAGTGAATCAGCTGATTCTATACCTGTAACAGTCTGTATAAAGTGATTGTATATCTGGATCAGCTGATTCTATACCTGTAACAGTCTGTATAAAGTAATTGTATATCTGGATCAGCTGATTCTATATCTGTAACAGTCTGTATAAAGTGATTGTATATCTGGATCAGCTAATTCTATACCTGTAACAGTCTGTATAAAGTGATTGTATATCTGGATCAGCTGATTCTATACCTGTAACAGTCTGTATAAAGTGATTGTATATCTGGATCAGCTGATTCTATACCTGTAACAGTCTGTATAAAGTAATTGTATATCTGGATCAGCTGATTCTATACCTGTAACAGTCTGTATAAAGTGATTGTATATCTGGATCAGCTGATTCTATACCTGTAACAGTCTGTATAAAGTGATTGTATATCTGGATCAGCTGATTCTATACCTGTAACAGTCTGTATAAAGTGATTGTATATCTGGATCAGCTGATTCTATACCTGTAACAGTCTGTATAAAGTGATTGTATATCTGGATCAGCTGATTCTATACCTGTAACAGTCTGTATAAAGTAATTGTATATCTGGATCAGTGAATCAGCTTATTCTATATCTGTAACAGTCTGTATAAAGTAATTGTATATCTGGATCAGTGAATCAGCTTATTCTATACCTGTAACAGTCTGTATAAAGTGATTGTATATCTGGATCAGCTGATTCTATACCTGTAACAGTCTGTATAAAGTGATTGTATATCTGGATCAGCTTATTCTATACCTGTAACAGTCTGTATAAAGTGATTGTATATCTGGATCAGCTTATTCTATACCTGTAACAGTCTGTATAAAGTGATTGTATATCTGGACCAGTGAATCAGCTTATTCTATACCTGTAACAGTCTGTATAAAGTGATTGTATATCTGGACCAGTGAATCAGCTTATTCTATACCTGTAACAGTCTGTATAAAGTGATTGTATATCTGGATCAGCTGATTCTATACCTGTAACAGTCTGTATAAAGTGATTGTATATCTGGATCAGCTTATTCTATACCTGTAACAGTCTGTATAAAGTGATTGTATATCTGGATCAGCTGATTCTATACCTGTAACAGTCTGTATAAAGTGATTGTATATCTGGATCAGCTGATTCTATACCTGTAACAGTCTGTATATAAAGTGATTGTATATCTGGATCAGCTGATTCTATACCTGTAACAGTCTGTATAAAGTGATTGTATATCTGGATCAGCTGATTCTATACCTGTAACAGTCTGTATAAAGTGATTGTATATCTGGATCAGCTGATTCTATACCTGTAACAGTCTGTATAAAGTGATTGTATATCTGGATCAGCTGATTCTATACCTGTAACAGTCTGTATAAAGTGATTGTATATCTGGATCAGCTTATTCTATACCTGTAACAGTCTGTATAAAGTGATTGTATATCTGGATCAGCTGATTCTATACCTGTAACAGTCTGTATAAAGTGATTGTATATCTGGATCAGCTGATTCTATACCTGTAACAGTCTGTATAAAGTGATTGTATATCTGGATCAGCTTATTCTATACCTGTAACAGTCTGTATAAAGTGATTGTATATCTGGATCAGCTGATTCTATATCTGTAACAGTCTGTATAAAGTGATTGTATATCTGGACCAGTGAATCAGCTTATTCTATACCTGTAACAGTCTGTATAAAGTGATTGTATATCTGGACCAGTGAATCAGCTGATTCTATACCTGTAACAGTCTGTGTAAAGTGATTGTATATCTGGATCAGCTGATTCTATACCTGTAACAGTCTGTATAAAGTGATCGTATATCTGGATCAGCTGATTCTATACCTGTAACAGTCTGTATAAAGTGATTGTATATCTGGACCAGTGAATCAGCTTATTCTATATCTGTAACAGTCTGTATAAAGTGATTGTATATCTGGATCAGCTGATTCTATACCTGTAACAGTCTGTATAAAGTGATTGTATATCTTGATCAGCTGATTCTATACCTGTAACAGTCTGTATAAAGTGATCGTATATCTGGATCAGCTGATTCTATACCTGTAACAGTCTGTATAAAGTGATTGTATATCTGGATCAGCTGATTCTATACCTGTAACAGTCTGTATAAAGTAATTGTATATCTGGACCAGTGAATCAGCTTATTCTATATCTGTAACAGTCTGTATAAAGTGATTGTATATCTGGATCAGCTGATTCTATACCTGTAACAGTCTGTATAAAGTGATCGTATATCTGGATCAGCTTATTCTATACCTGTAACAGTCTGTATAAAGTGATTGTATATCTGGACCAGTGAATCAGCTTATTCTATACCTGTAACAGTCTGTATAAAGTGATTGTATATCTGGACCAGTGAATCAGCTGATTCTATACCTGTAACAGTCTGTATAAAGTGATTGTATATCTGGACCAGTGAATCAGCTTATTCTATATCTGTAACAGTCTGTATAAAGTGATTGTATATCTGGATCAGCTGATTCTATACCTGTAACAGTCTGTATAAAGTGATTGTATATCTGGACCAGTGAATCAGCTGATTCTATACCTGTAACAGTCTGTATAAAGTGATTGTATATCTGGACCAGTGAATCAGCTGATTCTATACCTGTAACAGTCTGTATAAAGTGATTGTATATCTGGACCAGTGAATCAGCTGATTCTATACCTGTAACAGTCTGTATAAAGTGATTGTATATCTTGATCAGCTGATTCTATACCTGTAACAGTCTGTATAAAGTGATTGTATATCTGGATCAGCTGATTGTATACCTGTAACAGTCTGTATAAAGTGATTGTATATTTTGCACTATTATTTACACACCATTGTATTTATATTAAATTTTTATAACTGCTGAGCTAATTATCTCAAAGAAGACAATTTGACTTTAATAAATGAAAATTAAATAACTTATAACAGCAAAGAAAACAAGATACAATATAAATGTTATTACTTAGTTTTATATAAAAATCATAACAATTATACAGCATGACCTTAATTACATTGTAGGTGATAAAACAGCTGATCCGTCCCGGGAGTTAGTACCACTCTGTTGATGATTCACTCGTTATTTTCTCCAACTGTTAAACAAACAAAAGAAATCAATGTAATACTCCATGAATATAAACGAAATGAAATAATTTGTGTGGATGTGGTTATTTAATATAAAGACAGCTTGTGATGAGGGATAATGCTTACACTGATAGGCTCAGCAACATTGATCAAATTTCTTGTGAGTCACAGTGACCTTCATATGAATCATAATGACCTTGAACTCATTTTCATTGGAACCAATAATGATAACTGTGAGCAGGATTGTGGGTATTTTATCATAAATCTGCAGATTATTGTACATGCTTGTTTCCTTTCATGTTTATGTAAATATCGGCCATGATTTCTTAATAAAACTCAACTTGAATGCATTATTCTCTAATCTCTGCCTTCTTGCAGAATGTTATCATTATATTACAGCCAATGGTAAAGGATTATTCCTCACACAAAAAGTCAGTAACACCAATACACTGTGTTCCCATTGTGTGGAGACTTCAGGAGACATTCAGTAAGATTTATTGGTAAACATACATGTATCCTGATGAAAAATATCGGAGAGACCTATGCCACTTAACAGGCTCCTAAGTTTGATGTTTTGTGCCACTGATTGACATGAATATCTGCTGGAAAGTACATGTCAACATAAACTAGAAACGGTTGAGAAAACATTAAAATATTCAAACAGTCAGGATGTTTGGTTTGGTTTTATATTGCTAAACATCCTAACCACAAAGATAGTAATTTAAGGCTGACCATCCTATGTATGTAAGGTGAGCGCCTGCATTGAATATGTATGTTTAATTGAGGCGTCAATATGTTGGTATATGCCTCCATGCAATTGTACAGAACTGAAACTTGTATATAGTGTTACTATGACAACGTTGAGGAAAAGATCTCACGATCACTTGCCTCTCACGATCATACAAATGGGGGCTACAGGTACAGTTCTTATGTCTTAACAAAATGATCTGACCCAACACCACAAAGAATTTTACTTGGAATAAGACAGGATATCTATCTACCATAGGGAATAGGAACGGACAAGGATAAGAAATGTTACAGAGACCATCTGTTGATAGGGGCCTTACAGCTGTGTCCTACAGTGTCTGGTAAGTCAGTGTAATGGTATACAGTCCTACACACAGACAAGAAAAATCCTTCAGATGCAGATAAGATATATAGTCAATACCTAAAAGAAATGTCTTGACAGGTGTACAAAGGGCCGCGGTCTATTAGCACCACACTTGAGCCCATTAGAGTGTGTGGAGAGCCTTTGATGTAGAATTAGGGACCAGAAGACAGGGAGCCTTCACCACCCTGTCATGGGAGAGGACACACTAACATCAAGTGTAGACTAATTACCAGTGGTACATCATTATTATTTAAATATCTAAACATGTCAGTATAACACAACCTAATACAAACACAACCAATTAGATCTACTTCAATGTTTCACTTCTATCACTTTAATTATTTTTCTATTCCCCCCCCCCCCAAAAAAAAAATATAAATATAAGATGAGAACTGTCATGCAATTACATTCTTTTTCCATTTTACATATCTGGGAACATTTTCTGATAAAAGATAGAATTCTATTGACTGATGTTGTCCGCTTACCCTAAGGTTATAGGTTAACCTCTGGGTTTTTTTTTTCTCTTCAGAAGCAAAATAAAATAAAAGAAACGTTCACCAAAGAAAACAGCTCGATGTGATCAATCTTCCTGTCAGAAAGCTGTGCACATGTACTTCTACCCACAGGGGAAACAAGTGAATTCTGTACAAATGTATTGAGTCAAACACAGTCAAAGGTCTCTGTTTTAATCAAGTCACCAGCCTAGTTAATGTATGCAGCTCTTTTCAAATTCAAAGTAAAGAAATTGAACCCTTCCCTAATTCTTTCCAAATTGCCTTATCAACATTCAACAAAATTTAGAATCTTAAAAAAAGATATTTGCACAACTCAAATATGCCTTTTTATTGCAGGAATTATTCATATGACGGTCTTTTGAAATATTAAACCATCAATTTCTTCATTTGCAAATTCTACATTAAATGATAATTACATTATCATATAAATTACACTACTTGTCATTCATGTTCGATGTTGCTGGAACACATGTGGTTTAATTTGGAACAGAGATCATCTTCAAAGGACAAAAAGCACTAGGCTTAGCTGATTGGTGATCAGAATAACAGTGGTTATACACCCACATCAGGCATGTCACCAACAGGACATGTTCCATCTTTACTCATTTTCATCCAGCATTGATATATTAATGCAGACTTTAAAAATAAAATTTTTTTTGTGTTGAATAACTGCTAAAATTTCAATAGTTAGCGAGATAAAGCCAATCATGTACATGTATCGGTAGGTTAATGTAGGGGCAGTGTTTCTGTATCAGTGTGTAACTTGAACGCAGGACGTTTACAACAGCTGGCCATCAACCCTTATCTTGTTTTCAACATGTTTTATCAAGGAAATAAAAAGAAAATACCCTACATGGCTCATTTCAATTAGGACTTGTAGATTTTAACTCCATGTGTCACTGGTTGGAGCTGTGACTGTGTAATAATAGACAAATAAATACAGACAATAGCTCTAGTGACGGCCATTATTCCCTTTCTTGTGGGCTACACATACTCCTGTCTCATTATGTAAACCTGTGATTTGAGGTACGTTTAAATGTGCTGCACAGAAATATCATCTAAGAGGTGATATCATTTTGATATTTGGATAATACATGTAGGAAATACAAAGCTTTTAACAGAAAACACAAGTACAATTGAATGTTGTGTGCTGAAGTTGTATCCAAGAAGACTTTAGTTTGTATCAAAGATGTTATCTGAGTTTGTATAAAAGATGTTATCTGAGTTTGTATCAGAGACTACATTAGTTTGTATCAAGGACTTAGTCTGAGTTAATAACAAAGACTTTACTTTAATTTGTATTAAAGACTTCATCTGAGTTTGTCCAAAAGATTCTACCTGAATTTGTACAAAAAGTTTTACAAGAGTTTTTACAAGACTTTACCTGGGTGTTCTTAAAGATTTTCCCTGAGTGTTATTACAGACTTTACCTGGGTTTTAATAAAGCCTTTACCTGGTTTTTATTAGCAACTTTACCTGGGTTTCATTAGCGACTTTACCTGAGTTTTATTAGAGACTTTACCTGGGTTTTATTCGCAACTTTACCTGGGTTTTATTAGCGACTTTACCTGGGTTTTATAAGTGACTTTACCTGGGTTTTATTAGCAACTTTACCTGGGTTTTATTCGCAACTTTACATGGGTTTTATTAGCAACTTTACCTGGGTTTTATTAGTGACTTTACCTGGGTTTTATTAGCAACTTTACCTGGGTTTTATTAGCGACTTTACCTGGGTTTTATTAGTGACTTTACCTGGTTTTTATTAGCAGTTTTTATAAAGCCTTTACCTGAGTTTTATTAGCGTCTTTACCTGGGTTTTATTAGCAACTTTACCTGGGTTTCATTAAAGACTGTGTGTAACTGGTTTTATTGAAGACCAAGCTTTATTGTACCTGAACACCTTTTTAATCATGAGACTAATCACCCTAACTTGTCTGTTACATATGTGAAGTTGTTGAAATTGCTAACAAAGCAATAATTAGATACCTTTTTAAGGCAATTCATGTTAAGCTCCCGCCCCTAAAGGCATGAGTGAGGTCACCGAAAGCTATTCAAGGTCATACAAGTCTAGTCAAGGTCAAATATCTAGTTTTCGAAGCTTTGTTGGACATTTAACTGTTGAGAAGATTGTTTTTGATCACCAGACAAGAAAACACAATATGAATACATGAATTGCTGATTTAGAATGTTTGTGTGAAAGTGGTATGGTGGGTAAACCTGATCGCAGTCCAACAGCCATAAGGAAGATATGTCAACTCCACCTGATCCTAGCTCAATACCATAGCGAATACATGAACATAAGAATATTCTTATTCAATATCAATAATCCAAACAAAAGGGAAATAATGTCCCGCATAAGGCTTGAATTTCAGGTTACTAGGGAAGATCAATTAATATAGGTGTTATTTCCTGTTTAACAGAAAAAACAAATAAAAATCAATTCATTCTCAGTCTTTCAAATTGATTTTTAATCTTAAAGTAAAAACCAGAAATATACTGAATATTCAAAACATCTCAGGCAGAAACATGACTGAATGTATACCAAATATCTCAGGGTATTTACAGAATCTTTTACACAAGCCTTGGTACTATAATATGGCTGAATGTATGTACTGATGACCACATATACATCTACAGACAAAAATATTCTATGCTCTTTACCATTTTGCTGTATAATAAAAATGTGCATTTATGTCTTGCTCATTAACTCTGACGTTGACAACCAGAGATACTGTATCAGCTGAAATCAATCCATGTTGGAATTGTTGTATAGCAGTGACACTGGTAGGCTGTGTCTTGTGTGTTACTAGGACCTTCAGGTCTACTCTGACACATCAAACACACAATCTCCATTGTTTAGTAATCATAGCAAATGAAATATTTTCTTTAACAATATTTCACTCTAGATATTAAATTCGTAAGTCTTGTCAACAGTGAATGGTTGCTCCAATTCCCCCACAGAAATTGGCTGCTTTGACTAGACAGGTCTTTGATCACTGTCCTGTAAACGAGGGGAACAGTTAGTGTTTATAAGATGAAGACTGCTGTGGTGAACTTGTCTACAGCTTATTGAATAAGAAAATTGAAGAGAAAAATATACTTTGATCAAAAGTTTTCCTGAAAGGCAACAAATCAGGCTTCCCATTTACTTACATGGCTGGGTCACCATGATCAACCCGCCCAGACTGGAAAGTGGTCAGAGATCCACTGATGGATGGTCTCTATTGATCTGGCTGATCAACCTCAGTGACAAATCAACCAGTATGTTCATTCTTTTGATTTCCCCAATAAAGAACAAAACAAAAGACATCTATGATAAAGGATGGCAGTTATTTTCCTCTACAACAGTACATTATTGATGAATGAGTAAAATACAAGAAAA